AAAAAACAATCAATAACAGAAATTGTAAATAAGAAATCTGAGGAACCAAATGTATAGCAAAACAATATAAGTAAATTAAAATATGTAAAGAAAATTCCATTAAAATAGTAATCAAAGTGTAAACAATACCAAAAATTCCAAAAAATAGAATAAACTTTTTGTAAAATAAAAATAAAAAATTCTCCAAAACCGAAGTTACTCCAGAGTTTACACTTTTATAAGCTTCCATGTCCGTTTACTTGTGTGCAATACTGTTAAAAGCATATTAAGACAAAAAAGTGCAAGAAAACATACAAAAAGTTAAGCGCTCACTGACTGACTAACTGATAAATACAACAAAGCTACTCACACCCACACATTGCATACAATACATTAAGCGCCGGGGCGTATACGTAACCTCCATACAAAGCAAATAAATGGAATAAAAGCACTGTGCAGCGAAGCGAAGTCAAGTGCATGTAATGATATAAAGAAGCGAGAGCAGTAAATGGAAGGAAAACAACAAAAGAAAACTTAAAAAATAACAACAAAAACAACAATAAATAAATGCAATAAAACTAGTGTGTGTGAGTAAATGATTGCGCCGGGAAAGCGAAGGGTAAGAGTAATGGAAAAAGAAACACAGTGGAATACAGCGAAAAAGAAATTAAAGAAAAAACTTGCAAAAAATTAAACTTAGAAAGTAAATAAAATACAAATAATGAAGTTTACGAGCAGCCGGCGGCGGCGAAAAGCTGCAAAGGCGGAGCAAAGTGAAAGGCAGAGCGGGAACGAGAAGATAAAAATTAGTAATTGATAAACATTTGTTGTTCTAATGCAATGCAGCAGGCGGTGAAAAGTTAAATAAAGTGTGGACGTGAAAGAAAATAGTAAAAAAAAAAGCAATAAAAAATATACAAAAAAGCTTCTGGCAACTATTTGCTAGAAAAGACGTGGCAAGTGCAGCAAAATGGCACAAGGGAGGCGGCAAATTAAATATCAATAGTGTTACTGTAGCAAACAAAGCATTAGGGGAGGTAACTACGAGGTGTAATGTAGGTGACTGCAAGAGCCAAAAGTGAGACGGAAAAAAAATATCAAAAAAAAAAAAAAAAACACATAAACCACGAAAGGTGAAGAAACGAACATTTCAAATTACTATCCGTGCAATGTTGCTGCAGGCGGGGCCGGCCATGCTGCCCGCTACGCCAAACAGCGATAAAATGTGTTGTTGTAGCGAAAACAACAATCACCCCCACCCTACAGAAGAAGGCTCCAGCCGGAAACCCCACTTTACTTGCGCCACTTGCCTCCAACTGCAGGCCAGCAGCGATGAAAACAATACATGTAGCGTACTTTTAGGCGCAATGTCTGATGGTGGCGCAAAACCCGCGTTAGTACGACACTTACGGCGTTGGCAAGCGTGTCGTCGGCGTAGGCGACGCAGAAAGGGTGGCGGCGAAATGAGAAATGCATATAAGAACAACAACAATAGCATACAACGCTGTAATAAGCAAGCGCGGTTGGCACGAACAACGCGTGCGATGCATGCAACAACTACACGCGGAGTAGCTATTGAAAAGCGAAAATTAAGAAAACGCATAATCAGTAGCATGGCTACAAGCAATTGCTGGGGCTCAGCAATGGTAGCGCGTTTGTTGCTTGCGGATTACAACGACAGCGGTATGTTGCAAGCGCGTAACAGTAATTGCCTGCGAGCAAAAACAACAACAAGTGCAACAGCGGCTGCCAGCGTGGCACTGGAAAGCTGCGCAGCAACAAAAGCACTGTTGGGTTTACGTAGAGCAAGAGCAAGAGCAACAACAACAACAACAACAAAGGTAACAAGGCCGTTGTCGAAATTGGTGAAATGTGAGCGCCCGAGAAAAGTGCACAAACTAGCAACAACGGCGGCTGAACAACAGCCAACACCGTTAGCATGCCTGCACCACCAAAAGCAACTACAACAGAGCGAAAGTGGGTTGCAAGTTGACAGCGCACGAATATTGCGCGCCAATAGCAGCGACAAACCCGCTGGTGTACCGTTAGAACAACAGCTTATCACACGTGAGTTCCGAAATAAGCAACTGCCATCACAACAAAAACAACACTGCCTTCAACGAACAACTGCTGCGGCACTACAGCGACCAGCTGCCAAAGCAAACTACTTGCAACATCGAAGTTGGCGAAATTTAATTGGATGTGTGGCAAGCACATGTCCAACAACAACAGCGACCGTAATAAATACGATCACAGCAGCAGCAGCAGCAAACGTTATTGCATCAGCGCCAGCAACAGCAATAACAACAGCAAGTGCACACAATTGCAACGCGCATTGTTCGGCTGTCTCCGTTGTAGCCACAAAAATGTCAACTACTCGTGCGCTGTCTGCCAAGCAAGACGATGCGAAAGCGACAACAACAAAATCCGTGTGTGTAGAAACGAAAAATATATCAGCGCAGCAGCCGGGACTGGTTGTGCCGTGTGTCATTGTGCGTAAATCCAAGTGTCGAAGTACAATCGCATTGACAAGCGCATTAACAGTGATGGTGAAAACAGCAGCAGCAGCATCAGCAAGAATAGCAAAAAAAGCAATTCAGCCAGCAAAACCTACAAAACGCGATAAACCAACACAAATAAAATTATTTAGAAGCAGAGCAACTACAGCAACGTTGTATGGCAATATTTTTACAATACTTGTCGCTTTGCTGACGCTACATGCCACTGGTGAGTGCAACACATACATTACTTACATATACATACATATAAATTGTACATATATTTTATGTATTACAAATCATTGCATGAATTAACTCCTAGCTTCAGTTTTAAATGAAAAAGTATATTAGATTTTAAGAAGTATAATTTGGCGCTAAATTTTCGCTCTAAATTATGAGTTACGAATAATACAGAGGGGAAAAATGTACCGATTTTGAATTGAAAAAAAATTTACCTGCCACAACACTATTTTTTCCCCTTTTCGATACTGATATTACGGCGCTGTAGTTGTTTCGATAGCAAAAATTTCGACTTTTTTGATCGATAAAACTATCGATTATTTTTTTCAAATTTAAAATTAATACACTAATCTTAATTTCGCTGCTGGTATTATAGTATTATCAATTTTTTCGATAATAAAAAATATAGATTTTTAATACCGATTTTTTCGATAATAAAACTATCGATTACTTTCATCCAAATTTCATATAAACACAATCAATTGATTGTCGATTTTTCGACAAGATAATTATTTCTACTAAATTATGAATGCGAATTATAAAGGGGGAAGAATTTATCGATTTTACATTGAGTAAATGTTTTCCTACCACATTTCTTAGATAAATTAGTTTCTTATTTTAAATACCGATATTACGGCGCTGTAGTTGTTTCGTTATCAAAAATTACGAATTTTTCGATTACGAAACTGTCGTTTGTTGTCTTTAAAATTTAAAGTGAACAAATAATATTCAATTCGTTTAAAATTTGAAATGAACATTTTAATCTTCATTTAGTTACTGATCGTGGCGATAATATTATCGATTTTTTGGTAATAAAGCTATAGGTTTTTTCGATAATAAAACTATCGATTATTTTCTTTCAATTTTCTTTTTGATTTCGTTAAATTCATATAAATATATGATGCTTTGGAAAAATAATGTATATATGTATGTATGTTCTTGAAGTTAGTAGTCTCTATTCTGCCTCAATCGAGCAATTTGTCTTTGTCATGAAAAATATGACGATGCCACTTATTTGATAGTAGAAAGCAACGACAATAATATGTGAAATTAGAGTTTACCTAACAACTACTAAGGCTTTTACACGTAATTCGCAACCTGAATAGCTAATAAAGTGTCTTTATATGTACTCCACTCATTCTTATGTATTTGTCGTGCTAAATATAAATAGTTTCTCGAAAAATTGTTTCGCCTCAAGTGTCCAAAACAATTATTTCGCGGCGCCAGGCCGTATCTCAATATAATTTATTACGGTATGCGTGGGATTTGCGGCCAAAAGTTGGCTGCGCGTTGCGGCGTGTTGCGTAGTGACTTCAATCTAGTGCGGCGAAAGCTCATAGGGTGGGAAAACCAATGCTCAAGACTAATTAATTTATAAAGCCCGAAAATACACTATATGTGCTACCGTAATAATGATTTCTAAAAATTTTAGTGCCGAAGTACAACATTTTTCGGTAGTTTCGTGAAAGAAATGCGCCTTAATGTAGTTTAAAATGTTCGATTCGAATTCACATTGCCTACATTTAGGATAAAAATATTTATTCAAGCATGGCGTTTAAGAGCTAATAACCGTGGTAAAAAGTTTTAAATTAAATTTGCTTGAAACATAATTCAGTTAAAATCGAAGCACCTGGAAAATTTTTTCTATGATTTCTCTTTTATATTCAGTTGACATGCTTTAAATTTGAATGTATGTTCCCCCACAACTATACCTCCTTAGTTCTATAATAATGACTCCAATGATTGGTAAGATATCGTTCAGTTCTAAATTTTTTCATTGCCTTCATAACTGTTCGAAGCATTGCACTGGTATTTCTACTATATCCAACACATCGTAACCAACCCAAAAACATGTATTTTTTTACTTTCTGACTAATCTTCAGTAACAAGTTCAAATCATCGAGACTTTTAAAGGGATTTATCAATATTTACCGCTCTGACACTTTTGTTTTTTCCCCTTTATTCCTTTTTTTGCGGATTTTGTTTGTTTAAACAAAAGTCAACTTGAACTTGACTCTGAACTTCGCGCATTCCTCATGCCAAAATATATTTACTCCCCCTTCACTGGTTAACCAAATGTCTCACCTTCCATGCCACTTTATGGACCTCTAGAGCTTTCCATGAGCGCCGATGTGCACCTTGTTTTATTATTTGTAGTGAGAAAGTTTCGCAAGCCGATTGCCACAAAGGACCTCACACCATCTACTAGCAACAACACCAAAGCAAAGAAAAAACTTTTTAACCAACGCCCACCACCATTCCTCTGCAGTGCGCAGCTTCCTTTGAAGAGAAATATTATCCAACTTGATTGCGGCATCTTCCGCAGTTTATTTGTGGTTCGCCGCGCACATGGTGAGCATATGTGTCTTCGTTTGTGTACATATGTGTGATTGAGTGTGTGCTTTGCAAGCGTTTTGTTTCATAAATAATTCATTAAGACTTTTCAATTGATTTATGTATGCACACGACAATGGCGTACGGACAAAGTTTTCGCGCACATTCCGATTCTGCTTTATTCGAAAATTCTTATATTCCGTCTGCTGTTCTGCACTTTCTATGCTCTTCTTTGCAACTTTTTTTTCGCATTTAGCTGCTGGCGATTGAAAAAAAGTCTTTCGGCAAATTTACATGCCACCCAGAAAGTTTTAGTTCGTGATTTTTTTTCAACCTCCCCTTTATACGCATAAAACATGTGGCACTGAGTACCGTTGGCTTTGTTCAACTGATGGTTATTTGTAATGCCTGAAACAAAGCGATTGAGATATAGGCTATATATTGAGTAGTCGAAAAAGTATTTTCGTATTTTGTGAATTACCAATCACATTGTGTCATACCATACAGTGTTGGAAAGATGAGATTCATCATTTAACCAAAAAGAATTCCATTGTTTTTGCATTGAATTAAAGTTTTGTTGACTTCTTAATGCAATTTAGATCAATTACGCACCGTTTTGTTCGATAACTTCATAACACCATTCTTATAGAAACCTTCGTTCCTCTTAGCAGAAAACTAGTTCAGTCGATTTCCGTCAGCAAAATTGTTCGCCATAGACAGTAATAGGTGCAGGTAATCACTTGGTTTCTGGTCCAGACTATAAAATAGACGCACAAAAACCTTCAAACCAAGCTTCCAGAGCCACTGATCGCTAACGATGTGTATGGCCTGGCGTTGTCCAATGGTCCAATTGTTGACAGTACAGTTCCGAATTAACAGTTTAACCGTAGGGGAACAGCTCATAGTTGATTATTGCCTGACAAACACTACAAAAACATCGCAAAACGTTTCTGACCGTCGAACCGGAGTTGCCCACCGTTTACTTTCGAGGAAAAGTGGAGAAAACCAGAAATCCGTACTATGGCTTCTCTTAGCGTTCATATAAAGTATTGCCGACTTCCCGTAATATTTCCTTCGGCTTTCCCTTGACTTTTAACTTCGTTCGTACTCAGCTCTTATATATTTGTTCATTAATTTTTAAGGAGTGTAAGTAAGGTCTGACCTTGCGCATGAAAAATTGCGCAAAAGTGAAACGTGTGCGAATTTAAGTGCCTCTAAGCATGTTGAGCACAATGTGCGAATAAATTGCATACCTCTTTAGCGAAAGGAAAAATTTGGTCAATCGTCAGAAATGTGGTTCCAAAAATGCGGGTACGATACGTAAGATGCGTATTGCAAAGGTTTTCTTTTGCCAGCAGGAAACTCGAAAATTGTAACCGATGTTTGCCTGAGATTAATGCTGAACTGGTAGAACTTTTCAGCAATGATTCCACAAAGATGTGGGAGTCGATTTAAGAAAGAGAGCATACTAATAGAAAGAATAGAGTTGGGTCTAACTCAAAAAGAGGGAGGATTATCGAAATTATGAAAGAGGTGAGAATTGATAACAGAAAGTTAAGTGAGAGAAATGAATGTGGTTATGGCAGTAAAAAAATCTGAAATTATTTAAAAAAAAACAAAAAAAAAAAAAAAAAAAAAAAAAAAAAAAAAAAAAAAAAAAAAAAAACATTTCAAAAAATAAAGGAAACGAATTTAGGTTTTATGAATAAGGTAAAGAGATCACCCAGATCAAAAAATAAAAAAAATACTTTATCTCAAGTAAAGAAATCCTTAAACTCATACTTAGGGAACAATCACTTGGCGTTAGTGGAAGGCATTTTTTGAACACACTCCTTTATAGTGAACTAGATTATGTAAATCTCACAAATATTGAAAATTTATTTGGCATTTTTTTCTCGAGATTCGCGATCCCACAACCTTATAGAGGTAGCATAAATTTCTTCCGTCTAAATACTAAAGAAAGCGATCATTTGCATGGGGCCCTAGCTCACACTGAAGATGAAGGCTCCTACGATCTCCCAAGTATTTAATCAATTCAGGTTATTGGCGCGTGGAAGCATGGGAAATGCCGAAGCTACACGGATTACAACGACGATATCGTCACGGTTTTGAGCAGTACACACTCTGAACCTCTAATTATCGCTGATATGCTTCCAGCCTTCTCCTAAAGTTCGAAATTGTGTCTTACTCTGGAACTGCTAGCATCATTTATGGCGATTTAATGTTGCGATGTGAAAACTTACTAGCATCCACCATTACTTTATGACACTGTATGTGAAACACATATGCGTCTATTTTGATGTCCGAAATTGCTTTCTCGTTTGTCCGGCTCAATTGCTTTTGGACTAAACCACAAAATCGGCAGCAACAACTGTTACTATCAAAAAAAAAAAAAAATCTATAACAACAAACATAAAACAGAAAAAGACGAAGCAACATCAAAATCTGTGAACCCCTCGCTGTGTTTCCACTGTTGTTGTAGATATGGTTTTGTGTCAAACCAACTCTTTTCCAGCACAGTTTCTTTTATTTCGCTCGTTTGTGCTCACCTATCATGCTAACACCGAATGCCCGGCTGACTGACTGACTAACTGGCTGACCACGGTTCACTGGCTGCCACAAACGTTGTGATTTGGTTTCGGACTTTTTGTTATG